TAATACAACTAAATATATTTTAGATAAGTTTATAATAAACAAATACCATGAAATATATTTTTTTCGTTAGGTTCAGAACGATTTTTGTGAAATTATTGCATACACAAATTTTTCGCTGGCTTTATTCGGCAAGAAGAGTGTTGCTATTTAAGCCCAAATCACAGGTTTTACCTATTCAGCGAGACATATATATATATATATATATATATATATATATATATATATATATATATATATATATATATATATATATATATATATACACACACACACACACACACACACACACACACACACACACAATAAGCCACATGGGGATGAAAATCTGTAGTTCAAGATCTTTCGTATTCTCTGTGCTTCGTCAGGAGTTATGCAATGCTGCAAGACTAGCAATAAATAGTAGGGTTAAGTCTCCGAGGCGATGAAGAAACTTGAAACGCCTGCCAACTGTGACATGGCTCGACGCTTTACGCTTCTGCCTTGCCTCAGAAAGAATTTTCCTCGTATCTGTTGCTAGTCTTGCAAGATAGCATAGCTTCTGACGAAGCACAGGGAAGACGAAAGATCTTGAGCTGAAGATTGCCAGCTTCATGTGGCTTGTTCTGCATTAAGATCGTCTGTTTATACATAACAATACGGGAATCGGACCCCCGATACTTTAGCACGCGACATGAGAAACCCACCAAAATTTCGAGATGCCATTGTCCGCTCTGCCATCAATGTTCAAACATAAGGTGCCCAGTACCAGTGGACATGTCACTCCTTATGCGAACCAATACGTGGGTGTGGCAAGCTACAGGACTAATTTCATTCTCCTGCCGTTTGGCATACCAGTCTCACGAGCAGTACACATATTAATGCATCCACGAATAAGTGGTCTTAAGCAAATAATACTGCAGTGCTAAGGCAGTCTTGCAAGGCTAGGAGAGTTACAAGAAAGCTTTCACTGAAGGCTAAGACTGCTACAAGAACACAGTCGTTCTTTCTTTAGGAGCCAGTTTGGGGCACCAGAAGGACGAACAACAACGGCAATTAGATATCCTACTACTCGAGTACTCATTATTACATTCATGGAGGGAGGAAAGTGGGCACTAAATTCTTCGGGAAGGAATTCATACAGGGCCTGGTAGAATGGGAGGAAAGGAAAGGTAGGGTTAGTCCATTTCTTTGATCAAGAACCCCCTCACTGGTATCAAGATATGTCCCCTGAGAGATAGAGCTCAACTTCTCAATCCCCAACGACTGCTGCTTTCTAGACGGTATCACTTAACGCATGTACTGCCCAGTGCGTCAGCACGTAAATCTATCTCGGCATAGGTGTTACCTCCTCAGTGTCGCTCATTGTAGACGCGCTGTCGCTCACCGCTTGTAGATATCACCCTACGTTTAGATGCTGTCATGCGCCATCACACGTGCAGCTTGCCACCGTCTGGTATCTTGGTCATTCAGACATTAAGACACCATTGTTAGAGCCTCTTTGTGACACTGTCGACAAATTGAGGGTAAAACTGTAAGGTTGAAGATCAGCCGGCCAGAGTTGCCTGCAAGATTTATAAAAAAAAATTGTATTTGGGTTTGTCGTTGTTGCTGCTTCACTGTGTCGTTCAGTACCTATTAAATTAACTGCCTCACATGAACCTGTGACACTCGATCCCCTCAGGGAAGGTTCCTTGATGTTGGTGAGGGGCTCTTGATTTAGGGAATTGGATCTGTGCTCCAGTTCCCCGAATTAAGCCTGAATGCCTTCCACATCCCCCCCCCCAGGCGCTGTATAATCCTCCGGGTTTAGCGCTTCCCCCTTGATTATAATAATAATAATAATGTGACACTCGATAGAGCGGAAGAGGAATGTGAGGGACTTAGTAGTAATGTCAAAAGATCTTATGTCCAAGGATCACAACAGTGTAGCAATCACAGTCGCAAGGAAATTTATTGGCTGCATTACTAGAACCTTTGAAACGAGATGCCACGCTTCTGATGATACTGTCACTTGTTCTCTCTGTACAAGAATGTTGCTGTATACTGACAGCCTCTTTTAAGGCCAGCGAAAATAAAAATCTGGAAAATGTACAGAGGACATTCGCTGCCCTTACAAATTCAAACTACTAAATTATTGGGAGCGCTCGAAGTGTCTTGAATTCAGTGTGCGCCCTAGAACGCAGGCGAGACAATAATTTACACCTGTTAAATTCTAGAGGGACTAGTTTTAAATCTGCACACCAAAATGCTCCCTACAAGAGCAAGATGCCGGACAGATGGTGAAAAAAATCCTTATGTCCGTTCCAGATCAGCCAGGCTGTGGTGTTTACATTGGATTGTGTGATGCTAGCACCAAGCCATCAACAAGCAAGGAGACTGGCGTTTATATAGGCGTCAGCGGATAGGGACGTGTAGCAGACGAGGGCATAGTCACTGGTAGGCGGGATTCTTGTCGGTATTGTACACCTTTCTTGCACAACTTGTCAGACATTGCAACATCATGGAATCTTGGTTCAGAGGACATCTACATGACCTTCTTCACGGCTACTAGAACTAACCCATCCCTTTGGGTATGACCTGCTTCCAATGGGGAATCCCGCCGACCAGTGACTATGCCCTCGTCTCCTACACGTCCCTATCCGCTGACGCCTATATAAGCGCCAGTCTCCTTGCCTGGGCTCTCTACGACCACGGTGCTCTCCACACCATCTTTAAGGCTGAGGGACTGATTACCTCGTCTTTTGTATATAGTTCTATTGTCTAGTAGTTATGTCCTAAAATCTGTATTGATAAAGCCACTGGATGGCGAAACGTCTACAATATGTTGCACATGTCTTAACTTTCATCTTGTCGGTATTGTATACCTTTCTTGCACAGGTTGCAGTCAATTGGTGTGTGCACCCGCTTGCTGATCCAGCACTATAGATTTATTTATAAAGATTTGAGTCTAGTGTGTGAACGCTGGTATATATCTTTGATGTTAGTGTCTAGGTGTATGGTTATCTTAATGACCCACTTATAGTCTATAGGTCTGTTAGCAAACTAATGACTTTATATTATTCTTTACCAGTCCCCTCTTTCCTATAATTAAGATTTGCTCTGCTTTCGTTTCTTTATTGCTACTAGTGGAACCTCTCGCCTGGAACTAACAAACGGTGTCAGGTGCAAGGACATTATTATAGTCATAGAAGAGCGCTAAACCTGTGAAGGTCATACAGAGTCTGGGGAGGGGGATGAGAAGTGGAATCAGATTCGATCCAAAGGGTGGATAGGTCCAATTTTTTGGGTCAAGAGACCCCTCACCGACATCAAAGCTCAGTGTTTGGGGCCAGCAGAAGTCATCTACAGCGTTTTATAGTACCACCAACTTTATCTTCCACACCTTGTGAATTAACATGCGGACTGCAATGCCATCATGTAAATATTTTCTGTCTCATCCCACAATCACTGTTTTTCTAGTTATTTTCTTCTCATTTTAGGGTCTAGAATATTAAAATAAGGTTTAAAGATCAAATGCGTGTAAATTACTTTTACTTGAGAAATATATCTAGATAATACGTGGAGTAGCTCTCTTATAAGTAAGACTGTGCCACAGTAACAAAGACCAGAGCTGGGATCATGGCTGTAGCATAGCTCCCCACCATTAGTCAGTGGTGGTCGGAATTAACGATCTAGCGGCCAGTAGATGACACTGTGATAGTTGCGCCCCAGGAGCCACAGAAAATGGGCAGTGTTTCTCGGGGTGCACTTCTTTGTTCTTTACTTTATATATGCTAGTATTTTGTGGATGTTTTTCAATCAGCTTCTAAAAGACTCCGTTAGAATAATAATATTAAAATGTATTATTTCAGTTTTTAGCAATAGACTGACTACATCAAATCAAACTGCTGCAGATATAAGAATCGTCCAGGAAGGCGAGTGAACCAACCTAGCTGCCATGTTTGTCAAGATAATGAGGGGTCACAAGACGGGCAAGTGTGGCGACCCATCTACGTAAGTCGTGTTCACACCGAGACGCTCCTTCAAGTGCCATCCTGACATTGAATCTAAAGTTAGCTTTGTGCACCATACCCTGCGCTTTCATCCCCTCTAATTTAATTACAGATTTGCGTTGGTTAATGCCTTAAATTCAAGAGTTGTGATATGCTATATTGTGTTGATATCCTCATCTGTGCTTTATTTTACTAGCTTATGTTTACCTAAAGTACATGGAATACATGGCCTAGAAAGTCAGACAGCAGAGGACTTGGAAAATCTACATACAGGCTATCTAAGAAAAACTATCACCACCAAGATTCATTGCCCACTTGCTCAGTGAACAATTAATCTGGAACAATTATCCTGGCAATGGATCCAGGAGCAAAGTGTCTTCAGCAGTCACGTGTGGTAAGTGTTACTGGTGTTCGGTGTCAACTTGTCTCTATTATACAGCCCTTTGAGGCAAGAACATTCTCTCGGTGCAAAGGCAGTTCCAGGGATCGGCTGCAGGATCTGTGAGTGATCCAGGAATTAAGCTCTCGTTGGCACATGGTCGTGCAGTCACCTGCATCAAGGTGATAACAGTAAACAGGTGATATCACAATATGCAAAATAACCACAGTGAAAAAAAAAATAGCAAAATACCAAGCGATTTCGCAATTTCTCGGATTATCAAGGAATAGTAAAAAATAACAGGATAACAGAAGACTTGTAAAGCTGAAATATGACCTTACATATGACCCTTCTTACTGAGCGTGTGAGTGTAGTGGAAATGTAAACAGGTCAGGGATAAAAAAAAATAACATGCCAGGCATAGATTAAAATCCTCACAATTTTTATTAATTATAAATTTATTTATTTATTTATTTATTTATTTATTTGAACATGATACAGAGAAGTACAAGGAATAATATTTTTAAAGTGCAGCATGCCAAAGCCCCTTGTATGCAGAACATTATGGGCAGGCTTAAAATTAACTTAAGATTAACTAAGCAATGATATATTCAGTGGTACAAAAATTATTGTAAAACAGATAACAATTTAATACAAATGATTATTACAAAGACAGGTCATATGGTCATTACTGTGTTGCTGTGTAATCACTAGAATGGAGTATTCTGTTAGGTAATGAAGTTAAATAGTAACAAAGTTTGATTGGGTCACAGGTTGACATTTATGAGATACAATAATGAGATACAGTTATGAGATAAAATTTATGAGATACAGTTATTCAGTATTTATTTAGTTGTGGGTGAGTAAGTGATTTTTGAGAAGAGACTTGAATTTATAAACAGTGTTTCTTTTATATTCACAGGTAATGAATTCCAGATTTTAGTGCCTTTTATGTGCATTGAGTTTTTGCATAGTGTGAGATGGACACGAGGAACATCAAAGAGTGATCTGTGCCTTGTGTTATGGTCATGTGTTCTGTTGAGGTTGGTAAGGAGATGTTTGAGGTGAGGGTTTATGTCAGAGTTAAGTGTTCTATGTATGTAGTAGGTGCAGTAATAAGTATGGATGTTTTGTATGGTGAGTAGGTTTAGAGCTATGAATATTGGTGGAGTGTGTTGTCTGTAGTGGGAATTTGTTATCATTCTGACTGCAGCCTTTTGTTGGGTGATTAGTGGTCTGAGATGGTTTATTGTTGTTGAGCCCCATGCACAAATTCCATAGGTGAGATAGGGGTAAATAAGTGAGTGATATAGGGCCAGGAGGGCTGACTGTGGAACATAGTACCGTATCTTCGATAGTATGCCTACGGTCTTGGAATATTTTTTGGAAATTTGTTGCATATGTGTTTGAAATTTGAGTCTATTATCAAGGTGGATTCCTAGGAATTTTCCCTCTGTGAGGGAATTTCCTTGTGAGTTTAGCGCTTAGTTATGATTATAATAATTATATAAATTAATTTAATTCATACAACCCAGAACTTGTATTTATATAACAATATTACTGTTCATGACTCTTAATTCAATTATACATCGCTCATCCATGGACGTGCTTCTCGGCATTTTCAAAATCAATTGGATGGTTAAAATATCTCACATAAACAGAGCATTAGATCTTGTCCAACTCTAATTTTATATTTATTTTGTAATCTTAGTTCAAGACTTTTTCCAGTCTGACCATAATGACCTTTATTGCAGAGTTTATAAGTGGCATAAGTAGCAATATTTTAACATAATTTTTTATTCACTTAGAAAAATAATTAATATTACAATTTACTGGATGTCTTTGATATTTTTCTAGACGTGTACCTTTACAATTAAGTTTATTTTCATCAGTGCGGCTAACGCCGCTTCCTTCAAGGATGATACCTTGATGCTTGAATAAATGGTTTAGTAAACCCACAAGTTAATAAATAAAATTGTGCTACACTTGGTAATAAAAATTCCCAATTGCCTTATTTACTACCTTGATGCTGGTGAAGGACTCTTGATCCATGGTATTTGAGCTCTCCCATTCCTCGGATCAAATATGATTACTCCCACATAACTCCCAACCCTTGCTGGTTGATAACTTCTCCATAACTAGAATTGTACTGTTTTAAACTCAAGTTATTATACCGTCCTGTCTCCTGGGCATCTCATGGAGAGGTGCTCAGTTCTACTCTGAGAATTGTCAGGTTCCAATTTAAGTTTGCCATATTTTATTGGACTGTCCTGTCTACCAACGAGCACGCAGAATTTACCTCCGACTTCATCACCGCTCTAACATCCTTACTTTATCTTCCCTCCTCGCCGACGGCCCCACCTTTGACACAGACTCCCTCTTTGACTTTTTGACAGCAACAGATTTATTACACCACTTCTGATTAAACTTACTTTAGCACTCTTCACCGCCCTTTCTGACTTTACCTCTGTTCTATTCTTTGCCCCTCGCTGATCTCTGATCACGCATATTGCACCTTCTAGCATACCCTACCTTGCATTGTCGTATGACCCTTACGGGTTTAGCGCTTGGTTGTGATTATGATAATTTAAACTCAAGATTATATAAATTTACGACAACTGCCCTGCACCGTGGTGTGCGTGTTGTGTGTTAATGGTTCTGAAGACTGTCATCCCCAAGGTCCGGCCTCAGCCCCAGGTTTAAGAGCTATTAAGTAGCTCCTTGGAAGGTAAATGTGTGTTTATTCTGAATGTAAGTAGATGTTTGTGAGAGTTATCTATTAATTTATGTGTATATAAGACAGAAAAGATCAGTAATCCTGTCACTGCAAAATAATTAACAGGTTTGTTTTTTCACACTCATTTGACAAGACGTTGGTACCTCCTTGGATGGTTGCTGTGTACCAACCTACTACCTGAGGCTAAGGACAACACCATGAACAGCAAGAACCAGGCTTTGACTCTAGCAGACACACAAGCCAACATCCTGGAGCTGGAAGTGCTCAAGCCGCCCGAGACCAATGGGCAGCCGGCGTGGATCAAGAACACCGGTATTGCAGGTGACTTGTGGTTGTACGTGCATTAAAGATGTGCAGTTCATTCGGATGGGTGTGCCTTGATGCTAACGAAGGGCTCTTGATCTGACGTTTTGGAGATACCCCTTTCCTTCCACGGATCAAACTTGAACACAGTCAAATAAGAGGTAATCAAAAAACATTGCTTTAAAGAGCTATCTTCCATGCTTTCCTAGCTTTTTTTTTTTTAAGAAATATGCATTTAGGTCAGACCTGCAAATTAAGTGTAACAAAAACATTGCAATATATTGAAGTGCTTTCCTTCAGTATCTGGTCTCTCCGCTTTATCTGCCACTTCGCATTTTCATTCCATGGCTTCCTCTCATCTCTCTTCCTTAATCCTCTCCTACACCCCTCTCTTCCTCCCCTTCCCACCCTCCATAAAGGGCCACTAAACCTTCCTCGTCTCTCCCTCAGACGTGGACTTCTTGTACTTGGATGCCGCCTCCGTCACCTGTAGCGTGGAGAACCAGAAACATGGAGGTGGTTTGGTATCCGGGTGGAGGCCAAGCGTGGAGAGAACAAGAACGGAGAGGCTAAGAATGGAACCAGGACAAATACAGCAGAGGAAGAAACATGTCTACCCCCTCGGCTTGTATGGCCTAAGAAATTACGGTTACGAGGGGAACGCTCTTTCACTGGATCACTCTTCTTGTAAGTACCAGCAGGAGACAGGGAGGATTAAATGATGATGAGGATGATTAAAGAGTATATTTAGAGCGTTCTCGGAGACTTAAAAGGTAGAGAGAGATTGGTGATGAGTAAAAAAGAAAAAAAAATGTTGCTGTGGTGAATCCCTGTACGAACGAGCACTGGGGGGGGGGGGTGGATTTTTTTTAGCTGATATTTGCTTAAGATGCCCATTATCTTATTTTCATTAATATGATATCTTGGTAAATCACATAGGTTATTATTCTACCTCTACATTCCTCAATAAGTGGACAGTCAAACAGTGTTTAAAAGACTGATTACAAGGCTGACCACATACTTTGCGTTTAGTTTGATCATGTGTTTGTGTACAAAATTATTAGTACTTGTAACCAAGCCTAAGTCTGGCTACACCATGTGTCACTGTTTACAATGCAAGTTGCTTCGTAAATATGCTTATCGTAAATATGCTTATCATGTTATACTGAGTTATGAATCTACTTAGGCTTCCAGCTGTATTCCTATAATCACAATCATTATTTCTCAAATGTAGAATGTAACTTTGGTATATCTGTATCATGCATTAGGAATAATATTAAGAATGAGGTATATGATGACTCCGAATGTCGTAGGAATACAGATAGAAAGAAGCCTAAGTTTATTTAATATCCTTGATAGCATAAACGTAAATAAATATATTTGCGGAACAACCTACAATCAAAACAGATTAATGTTGTAGCAGCCAGGTTTAAACTTAATTACACGTACTTCTGGCAGTTTGGCAGACACAGCCAAGCTAAATACAAAGCATATGGTCAGCCTTATGATCAGTTTCTGAACACAGTGTTTGTCCACTTACTGACGAATTTAAAGAAAATATAATAGCCTGTGTGATATGTCAAGTTATTTTGTTAATGAAAATATTAGACATATTATTAAGCAAATATCCTAAATTTGTTGCAACACGGTACCGTGAAAATAACCTTAGCGGATATATATACAGTTCTAGTTCCGAAGACTGTGTGTATCTACATGCTCTTGCTCTGGAGGGTGTTCCAGGGGTCAACGCCCCCGCGGCCCAGTCCTTGACCAGGCCTATGGGGTGCAAAAAAACTAGCGCTTCGGTAGAGTATGAAGGAATGGGAAGGTGTTTTCCAGGGTTGAGGTATGTTAGGATAACATATTCGTTAAAATAAATATATTCTGTAGAAAAACGCTATTAGAGTTTCTCGCTAATAGCGCGAAAATAGATGATAGCACAAATATCTTATCCTTTGCAATGTGTTTTTCATGTCCATAAACGTGCAATTATCAACATCAATGAATGCTTTAGTTTTTTTTTCACATTTGTAAGAATCGCAATTCTACAAAGTCAATTGCAGATTTTTTAAAATAAAAAATTTCGCCGTCATGAGTTTTAACCTAACGATTTAGTAATCAGATTTTTCAGTATTGCCTAAATTACACTACTTGTATTCTAATATATTAATAATTTGAAGAGAACAAGATAACGTACAGATTATTTTAGCACATAGGACTATGTCCCGCTGCTATGAGATGCAGCCGCATAGCCTAAACTACTGTTCTTTTGTGCTTCAGGTCTGGAGAGCTGCAGCTGTAGTGCCAAGTTTCTGGACAGGTCCAGAGAAGTAGCACACATGGTCGAGTCCGGGGACTCCATTGGCTCTCATCCAGCCACCTGCAACACCACCACTCACGGCGATCCTCGGTGATATCCACACGTCTAGTGGATCAAAAAGTGACTTGGTCATGCCCATGTACCTAGGCCCGCTGCCTTCGCTACTCAGGAAATATCAGCAACGTCCCTTCCAAACATTGTCCCCATCAGTGCTCAGTCCTCCGTGTGCCTTCAAGCTGTTGGGGTGATCAAATTCACTATGCAGCTTTAAAACCACATGCAAGGTTGGGCACTGATATGGGGAGGGTGTCTGGAAAGAGCGTTGTCGATACTTCATAGCTGGGTGAGGAAGGCGGTGGGTCCAGGGTAGTCTGGACGTGGCCAGGTGCAGACAGGTATGGTGAGAAGTGTTTGCAAAGTCATTATTCTGACTACCTAACACCCAGTGTTGAGCTGTATCGTCATGATAAAGCTCAGCACTGAGTGATAAGGAAGTCAGAACACAGGCTAATGAAAGCAAACTGCCAGTGTGCAGCTGTAGTGTCGGCTACGTGGCTGTCATGAATG